TCTTTCTCCCCTCCTTGCCATTTGCTTTTACTCTTTCACGGTCTGAGCCAGGGGGAACGACTGGGACGCACACAGACTCCAAGGACAACTTCCCTCTTCATCTCCTGAAGAAGCGCTATCTAGTGCGAAACGTTGAGAAAATCAAGCTCCTCCATCATCTTTCATTATATTAATCATGTTATGTATTTATGAACTTTTCAATCATATCTTTTCAATCATGTTCAATTGCACAAGAATTCTGATTGTCATCTATATATGAATGAATTTAATCAATGTGGAGTGAGCTTACAGGGGAATCATGTTGTCAATTTTATCAATTCTATTTGCTTTTTAATCAATTAAAATATACTTTTTCAAAAATTCTTGGTGTGCAAGTTGTCAGTCGGCTGCCTAAAAAACCCCCAACTTTTTTGACTTTTCGATATACGACTCTCAGGGGTGTTGGCATCCTATGCCTTGATCCAGGTCACTGTCTTTTCAAATCTATCTGAAAATGTAGAAAGGACGAGAGCTCCAGAGATCTAATGTGAGTGCAGTAAATTATCACTTCATGACAAGAGGTCAGAAGAGAAAGCCGACGCGTTTTGGGGGGCTCAGCACTCCCCCTTCATCAGGGCTGCAGCAATAGCGGAGGTGAAACGCCCTCCTGGCGTACTCGGCGTTGCTGCGCGGCGCTCTTACCTCAGACGGGCACAGAAGCTGAATATCATCTGAAAACCTCCCCAGCAGAGATTTCTCCCCCACCGGCTGCAGCTGGACCAGAAAACAAACCGACAATCAGAAGATGAAATATCACCGGAAATGTCCGATCGGCGGAGGATTCCGGAACCTTCCACACACCTACCATGTTATTCCACAGAGCCTTCGCCATCTGCTCGTGACCCTTGATGGTCAGGTGGAAGCAGTCCGGGGTGAAGAACGAATAGTCAACCTGACCGGTCTGTACGTGATAAAAGTGACACTTCATTACACGCCGCGTCCCTGGGTGACGTCACATGATATGAACGCAGACCCGAAAATACAACAGCAAGGCAGGGTGCCCCTGATACCTGAAACATGTCACACACACACACCTGGTTAATGGCCGGCTCTGTGTTCTCCAGGAAGGGTTGTAGAACGACAGCGAAGTCACTTTTCCCGTCGTATCTCCCCGACTTCTCGATCAGATCTTTCAACTTCTCCTGCAGAATGTGAGGATAACATATGAGGAACTATACAGAACATGTATGTCCTCTGTACAGCACCACAGAATATGTCAGAGCTATCATATAAAAACTAGAACATTTCGGGGTAAAAAGGGGAAATGTGTTTAAGAATAATTAATAAATCAGCAGAACCCCAAAACATTCCAAAAATATGTATTTTGTTACATAGAGAGAGCAACAATGTAACCATTCCACAACACAATACAGAGACATGAAGACTTCCGTCCTCCGCGTACTTTTTTGACTTTTCGATATACGACTCTCAGGGGTGTTGGCATCCTATGCCTTGATCCAGGTCACTGTCTTTTCAAATCTATCTGAAAATGTAGAAAGGACGAGAGCTCCAGAGATCTAATGTGAGTGCAGTAAATTATCACTTCATGACAAGAGGTCAGAAGAGAAAGCCGACGCGTTTTGGGGGGCTCAGCACTCCCCCTTCATCAGGGCTGCAGCAATAGCGGAGGTGAAACGCCCTCCTGGCGTACTCGGCGTTGCTGCGCGGCGCTCTTACCTCAGACGGGCACAGAAGCTGAATATCATCTGAAAACCTCCCCAGCAGAGATTTCTCCCCCACCGGCTGCAGCTGGACCAGAAAACAAACCGACAATCAGAAGATGAAATATCACCGGAAATGTCCGATCGGCGGAGGATTCCGGAACCTTCCACACACCTACCATGTTATTCCACAGAGCCTTCGCCATCTGCTCGTGACCCTTGATGGTCAGGTGGAAGCAGTCCGGGGTGAAGAACGAATAGTCAACCTGACCGGTCTGTACGTGATAAAAGTGACACTTCATTACACGCCGCGTCCCTGGGTGACGTCACATGATATGAACGCAGACCCGAAAATACAACAGCAAGGCAGGGTGCCCCTGATACCTGAAACATGTCACACACACACACCTGGTTAATGGCCGGCTCTGTGTTCTCCAGGAAGGGTTGTAGAACGACAGCGAAGTCACTTTTCCCGTCGTATCTCCCCGACTTCTCGATCAGATCTTTCAACTTCTCCTGCAGAATGTGAGGATAACATATGAGGAACTATACAGAACATGTATGTCCTCTGTACAGCACCACAGAATATGTCAGAGCTATCATATAAAAACTAGAACATTTCGGGGTAAAAAGGGGAAATGTGTTTAAGAATAATTAATAAATCAGCAGAACCCCAAAACATTCCAAAAATATGTATTTTGTTACATAGAGAGAGCAACAATGTAACCATTCCACAACACAATACAGAGACATGAAGACTTCCGTCCTCCGCGTCCTCTCCTCCGCGTCCTCTCCTCCGCGTCCTCTCCTCCGCGTCCTCTCCTCCGCGTCCTCTCCTCCGCTTCTTCATGTCTCTGTACTGTGTTGTTCTGAATGTTCTCAGGACTATTGTATTGCTGTCACAATCTGGGATCAGGCTCGGAGTCCAGTAGCTGAAGCAGCAGGCAATGGTGGTATAACAGGCCGGGTTTGGTACACAAGCAGACGGTAGTAGTGGAGGAGGAGGCAGAAGCGTAGTCAGAGATCAAGCCGAGGTCAGGAGCCAAAGGTATCAGGTATGTAGCAGGAGATGATGAGAGTAGTCGGTGAATCAGCAGCCACAGGTCGGTACACGGGTAGCAGTATGAGCGGATTGTATCACAGAGTGAGCAGGAAGCAAGACATTGTCAGGAGCACAATAATCTGGCAAACAGGAAGTGCAGAGGCGTGGCTTAAATAGGAAGTTCAAGGGGGGTGCAAGGAGTTCAGAGTTCAGCAGAGATTCGGTATAATTAAGGATTACACAGGAGATCAGGCAAGGTGCTATCCAAGGCTCTAAGGTGGCTCAGCAGGTAGAACCACCGCCAGCTACAGCCGAGGCCCCGGGTCCAGATCCGGTTCCTGACAATTGCATTGTCTGGGCTCTATGTCAGACTTGTTTGGGTGAATGTGGAGTACATGTCACACATATATCTACATTTATGTATATTACATATAGTGCATGTAACACTTTACATATTGTTCATACATATTGTGGAGCGTGGAGTTCATAATAATTCTGGGAACAGTTGTATGGGACGTTGTCCCGGGGAAGTCTCTGGGTAATGGGACGACTCCCTTCCTTATTTTGTGCTACTTCGTACACGCAAGGCTCACTGTGCGGACTGAAATGTGTTCCCCCATCAGAACCTTCACAATGCTGACAGTGATATGTCATAATAATGTTTATCTTTGCTGTCCCTTCACGTATATTACAGTGTAAATGTTTCTGATGTGGTAACGAGAGACGTTTAGATGAAAGACAACACATACATACGTATGTATGTATGTATGTATGTATGTATGTATGTATGTATGTGGACACCTGACCACCACACCCTGCTGCAGGTCCCATCCCAAAACCATGGTCAGAAATATGGAGTGCCCCCCTACCACCACCACCACTAATATGTTTTCGACTCCCTTTGTAGCTATAACATCCTCTATTCTTCTGGAAAGTCTTCCCACGTGATTTCGGAGGGTGTCTGTGGGAATTTGTGAGGTCAGGTACTGATGTTGGAGGAGAAGACCGGGCTCACAATCAGCATTCCCATTCATCCCAAAGGTGGAGAGTAGGGTTGAGGTCGGGGCTCTGTGCAGGACATTCGAGTTCCTCCACCACACAGGTCACACCGTGTCTGTATGGAGCTGGGAAGACTTTTCACCTGATTTTGGAGGGTGTCTGTGGGAATTTGTCCCATTGGTGAGGTCAGGTACTGATGTTGGATGAGAAGACCTGGCTAACAATTTGCGTTCCAATTCATCCCAAAGGTGTTCAGTAGGGTTGAGGTCGGGGCTCTGTGCAGGACACTCGAGTTCCTCCACCAAGCTGGGCACACCGTCTCTTTATGGAGCTGGCTTTGTACACAGGGGACAGTCATGGGGTGGAACAGAAAAGGGTCTTCACCACACTGTGACCACAAGGCTGGAAGAGCTCCATTGTCTACAATGTCTTTGTATGATGGAGGATGAACAGAACCTTCACTGGAGACACCTGAACTCAGTAATTTGGAGGGGGGTCTGCATATTTTTGTCCATAGGTGTAGGTATGATGGTCAGCTGTCCACGTGCTTTTGCCTATATACACACACACACAGTAAAAATACAGAGGCAGCAAATGGGGTTCTAGAGGAGTGTGACGAATAACAACAATCCTTAATGAATCTTCATTGTGGTGCGCTGAGGGTTCACTGAAATTATCAGCGCGATCAGATAAAGGCAAAGAGGGAGATTTACCTGGAACTGGCGATTCTGTTTCATGACCTCCAGCAATTCCGGGGAATTTTCTTTTGGTTGCACCACACAGGAACAGAAGAACCTGCGGTGAGGAACAAATTGTGAAGGACAGACCATTGCCAGGCTCTCCCCTCCCCGCTGTATCATATACCACCATTGTCAGCAGGCAGTAACATTACTGTTTCCACAAACATCACAAAATGTATGACATCATCATGGGGCGCAGCAACCTGCACTTCTCCTGGGTGAGAATGATGTCCCCAGCTACTCAAGTCACCCATCCCAGGACGCTTCAGGGTGATCTACAACACACTGCGCATGCATCACGAGGCGTCATCGGGGGGGGGGGGGG